TAACCTTGCATTGAAATTTAGACGCTTAGATGCCATTATTTCCATGACATTCCATAGAAAAAGTAATTCCTCTGGTGATAAAATTTTCAAATACGTTATGTGAACTTGGCATATATCAAACGGAACTTTAGCCAATTGTTGTAATGGTTCAGATTGTCCTTTTCTTCTTCTACGAACTGTTCTGTAATTTGGTGGGAGCTGGTTTTTCATTGAAGTGTCAGAATAATATTTAATTTCTTCAGCAGGGTGAGGGTTTCTAAACCTTGATTAAGAACAGGGGAAAACTTAACTTGCTGATGCAGAGAGAGGGCTGTAGGTTGGGGACTTTCCTAGCTGCTGCCATTTGATTTTGTGGTGGAAAGGAGATATAATCTACTCATCCATCTTCTCTGAGATCTCATTTTCTCCCTCTACCATTTTCCTCTGTCTTTCATCCTTGAAGGTGTGGTTAGCCTTGCCATATCCCAATTCGAAGAATGCAGAAGCCTCAAGATCAACGGTCAAGGCCTTCCAAACCCACTACTATTCATAGCTATGCTCAATCTGGGAACATTCTTAGCCTTCAAAAGCTGCTCCAAGAAAACCCTGGTCTTCTTAATGATAGAAATCCTGTTGTATGTTCTCTTTCTTGTACAACTTTTTGGCATTTTTATGAGTTTTTGTTATCATTTTCATTTCTAACTTTGTATATTTGTTCATCGGGAAGTGACTTTCTTATGTGAATATGAATTGATTTGTTGATATGTGTGAGATAAAGGACTTATTCATTGTTCCTGACTTTGTATGCTTGAAACTGGCTCCGTATGATTATTTTGGTGCTTTAATTTCATTGTTGGGCAAGAATTTCTGGAGTATATAACTTTTATTTGACCATTATTTCCAATATCTTCCATCCAGGATTTTTTCAGGTGTGTTTGGAGCTTATTTTGCTCTATTTTATTTTTCACATCTGAAGATTTTATTATTAGATATATCCCATGTTAACCATCCATTTATCTCCTTTCTTCCTTTCAAATATGAATGCTAATGATACTTGCTGGCTTAAGACTAGAATTTCAGTTTTCATTTTGAATACTCTATCTCCATTTCATACTTTTCTCAGTAATTCAATGAAGAAAATGGTGCTATGTATTTTTTAAAATTAACTCCAATGCTGTTTTTTTTTTGCTCACGTGAGATCCCACGTCAGTTGAAGAGGGGAACGAAACATTTTTTATAAGGGTGTAGAAACTTTTCCCTAGTAGACGCGTTTTAAAACCTTAAGTGGAACCTCGGAAGGGAAAGCCCAAATAGGACAATATCTGTTAGCGGTGGGCTTGGGCCGTTACCAATGGTATCAGAGTCAAACACCAAACCGTGTGCCATCAAGGAGGTTGAGCCCCGAAGGGGGGTAGAACATCAAACGGTGTGCCAGCAAGGACACTAGGCCTCGAAGAGGGGTGGATTGGAGGGTCCCACATCGATTAGAGAGGGAACAAGTGCCAGCGAGGATGCTGGACCCAAATGGGAGGTGGATTGTAAGATCCCACATCGGTTGGAAAGGGTGACAAAACATTTTTTTATAAGGGTGTGGAAACCTCTCCCTAGCAGACGCATTTTAAAATCTTGAGGGAAAGTCCGGAAGGGAAAGCGCAAAGAAAACAATATCTGCTAGCGGTGGCCTTGGGCCTGTTACAACAATGATTCAAAATATAGAACCAATTTATCTTATTATTTATATTACCTTCGGAGTGAAGCTTATGGATTTCAATGCCTACTTCAGATGGGACAGACACCCCTCCATGTGTCTGCAGGCTATAACAGGGCAGAGATCGTAAAATTTCTTCTTGTCTGGCAAGGTCCAGAAAAGGTCGAGTTGGAAGCCAAAAACATGGTAGGTGTAGATATTCTTTATCGTGGTAGTGTTTTTCGTGAAATTGAACTGTAGTGCTCAATTATTGGGTAGAGCTAATATTCTCTTCTCTCTGCAGTATGGAGAGACCCCATTGCATATGGCAGCAAAGCATGGGTGCAATGATGCAGCACGGGCGCTACTTGCTCACGGCGCTTTTGTTGAAGCCAAAGCAAATGTGCTATATATTGCCTTTTAGTTATCTCTTCTTCATTGATTCTGCAATGAAATACATGACTCATGGGATTTGTTGGTTGAAATGTCTGCTTTTGTGTATTCCTTTATGCAGAATGGGATGACACCATTGCACCTTGCCGTCTGGTATTCACTCCAATCCGAAGACTGGGCCACTGTCAAGACACTGCTTGAATATAACGCCGATTGTAGTGCGAAAGATGACGTAATCCTTCAATATTTTGCTTGTAATATTTTCTGTTCTCCATTATACTACATAGAAAATGGTACTAAATAGGCTTGTCTCTTAAATGCAGGAGGGTATGACTCCCCTAAGCCATCTGTCACAGGGCTCGTGCAGTAAACAGTTGAGGGAATTGTTGAACCAGCATTTAGAAGAGCAGAAAAGGCGAAAAGCAATTGAAGCATGCAGTGAAACTAAAGCAAAGATGATGGAACTCGACGATGAGCTCTCGAAAATCGTGGGTTTGCACGAGCTTAAGATCCAACTCCAGAAATGGGCTAAGGGAATTCTTTTAGATGAGAGACGCAGGGCCCTTGGCCTCAAAGTTGGCATCAGGAAGTCACCTCATATGGCATTTCTTGGCAATCCTGGAACAGGTAATTACATATAGGAGGCAGAGTTTGCTATAGCTATTTTGTTCCTATTTTCTAAAAATGATCCGACGTCCATCAAGAATTCCTATAAATATATCTGTTTACGTATGGATTTTCATTAACATACGTAATACTAGTTACTATGGCCTACTATGACCCTGGTTGATATTGGTTTGAGTTCTTATTTTTGAAGATTAAGCGGGTAAATGCGACTACGACTCATGAGTTTCTTTGTTTGTTATATACTTTTTACGCAAGTTTTCAAAATTCAAGTCAAGTTTTGAAAGCTAGAAAAAGTAGTTTTTGTTTTTGGAATTTAAGAATTTAATTTTAACCCTACCAAACGAAGCTTAACCATATTGTAACAACCCAAGTCCACCGCTAGCAGATATTGTCCGCTTTGACCTGTTACGTATCGCCGTCAACCTCACGGTTTTTAGAACGTGTTTACTAGGGAGAGGTTTTCACACCCTTATAAGAAATGCTTGGATCCCCTCTCCAACCAATGTGGGATCTCACATATATGAGGTGTATTGTGAATATCCGAGTCTATATTTATATGATTTTGGGATTGTGAATATCTGGAACTTTTATATCATAAAGCATGCGTTCTTTTTGGATGCTCAGTCATATATAGTTGCTTAGCTAATTCGTGCTAGCTAACAAAACTTGTATTTACCATCATGGTTCACTTATTGTTGTTATTATTTTTGATAGGTAAGACTATGGTAGCTCGAATACTCGGAAAATTGCTTCATATGGTTGGCATCCTACCGACTGATAAGGTAACAGAAGTACAGAGAACGGATTTGGTTGGCGAATTCGTTGGTCACACCGGTCCGAAAACCAGGAAGAAGGTACACCATGCGTGGCTTTTAGCCTCTCTTTTTTAAGTCATTTGGAACATAGCTTTATGTATGGATGCCACCTCTGACTTTCAGATCAAAGAAGCAGAGGGCGGAATACTTTTCATCGATGAAGCCTACCGACTGATACCAATGCAGAAATCTGATGATAAGGATTACGGTTTGGAAGCTCTGGAAGAGATCATGTCTGTCATGGACAGTGGGAATATCGTAGTCATATTCGCTGGTTACTGCGAACCGATGCAGCGCGTAATATCTTCAAACGAAGGATTTCATCGACGAGTAACCAAATTTTTCTACTTCAATGACTTCAATTCAGAAGAATTAGCAAAGATCCTCCATATCAAGATGGATAATCAAACAGAGGATAGCTTGTTATATGGCTTTAAGTTGCACCCTACGTGCACCGTAGAAGCCATTTCGGAGCTGATCGAGAGAGAAACGCAAGAAAGGCAGCGTAAGGAGATGAACGGTGGTTTGATCGATCCAATGCTCGTAAACGCCAAAGAGAATTTGGATGGCAGGCTGAGTTTTGAGTGTATAGACACAGAAGAACTGTGTAGTATTACAATGAATGATTTAGAAGCAGGCCTTCGTTTGCTAACAAAGTAAGATGAGTTGGTTCATGCACAAACTATCAAATGTTCTTTGGAGCTGTTGGCACCATCTCTGATATCAGTACTGCAGCAAGCTGAAAGGCCATGCTTGTGGAGATTTTAGGTGATTTTCTAAAGAAAAATTAATTTTATGATATCTGTAAAGAACTCTGTGTTATGGAACTCAAAAAATGGAAGAAAGAAAAGTATTTTCGATATCATTATTTCTTTATATAAGCCTTTCTTTCGAAGTTTTTAGAACACGTCCGGTAGAGGCAGATTTCTACACCCTTATAAACAATGCACTCGTTCCATTTTTCAATTAATGTGGGACCCCCAAATATACCATCCTTTAAAGCTGAGCTTCTCGTTCCCTTCTCCAATTGATGTGGAACTCTCAGATCTACTATCCTTTGGGGCTGACTCTCTTATTCCCTTCTCCAATCGATGTAAGACCTCCCAAATCCACCACCCTTTTGGGCTCAGTCTCACGTTCCCTATCCAATCAATGTGAGACCTCCCAAATTCACTCATTCGGGCTCAGCCTCTTGTTTCTTTCCTCAATTGACATGGGATCCCCACAGTCCACCACCTTCAAGGCTCAACCCTGATGAATGGCTTTGGATATCATTTGTACTGCCTCAAGCCCACCGTTGGCAAATAGCAAATATTGTCCTATTTCAAGCTTCTTCTCAAAATTTTTAAAACGTGTCTATAAGATAGAGATTTACACGCACCTTTCTGCATTCGTATTTTTAAGTTAGAAATTGGAATCATACACTAACTGAAAAAAAAAAAAAAAAATTGTTTTAAAACCACATTTATTTTGGACTTGATTACAACTCCAAACAAACTCGTTGGAGTGTTGGTCAATTGTCTCTCTACTCTGTAGGTAAAAATCTCGGCTGAAACGAGGGGAGTAAGACGACGAGTGGGCTTCGCGCGCCATGAGCGGGAGCAACGTAAGCAAGGTCTTCTACGCCGAGAATTACCATCCAATTCAAGCCGGCAGCATCGACGGCACCGATATTCTTCCCCACGACAATGCTGTCTACCGAGCATTGCTATGTTCCTCTGCTGGCCTCTGTAAGTCTCTTGCCTCTAATTTTCAGCGCCAGTTTTTATTTGTTGATGTTCTTAAGCTTATTCTAATCGACTGTTGGGTCTGGTTTCGGCAGATGATCCCCTTCGCGATCCCAAGGTCTTCGGTGACCCTTATTGCACCCTCTTCGTTGGTCGCCTTTCTCATCTGACTACCGAAGATAGTCTTCGTAGGGTATTGTCTATTGACCTCTCTAATTGCTTGTTATTGACTGATTCTGATGAGTTGATATGAATTAGTTACCATTCGGATCGTGGGTGGAGGGGAGATTAAAGTATAAAGGAAGGAGGGAGTTTAAGGATTTTATGTTCTTGATAAATTTTGATACGGAAGAGACCTTAGTAGCCCTGATAGGGCAATTTTTCCCTTTCAGAACTTGTTGGTTGGAACATTTGAATGGCCACCATAACTATGAAGGTCCTATCTTGAGTTTAAATCGTCTAACTTTGTGCAACGTAGGGTTTTGGCTTCAAATAGTTAAGCTACATCTTAAACTTTCAAGATGGAAGCCTTTCTAGAGGATGTATCCAACACCCCAACCTACAAAAAAGGCATAGAAAAATCTTATCTAGGTTGGAAAATATGAGATCTCACATTGGTTGGAGAGGGAAAGGAAGCATTTCTTATAAGGGTGTGGAAACCTCTCCCTAGTAGATGTGTTTTAAAACGTGAAGCTAACGGTGATATGTAATGAGACCAAAGCGGACAATATTTGCTAGTGGTGGGTTTGGGCTGTTAAACTGTTTGAAGCTTATCACAAACTAAGCTTTAACAGCTATTTCCTGAAACATTTAAGATTAGATTACTCAACAGGACTGAGGAGAGAGCATCCATTCATCCATTGAGCGTATTTGAATTTTTCTCGATCTCTGGATTCTCAAAAGCTTGCTTTCCTATTTTAATTACTTGCACTATTGCGTTTGATATTTCATCTATAATTTACTGCTTTTCTTTTTGTTTCCCTTTCTTCATCTCATCGGCTGAAAAAAAAAATGAATTTCATCTTTCAGGCTATGAGCAAGTATGGTCGGGTTAAGAACCTACGCTTAGTCAGACACATCGGTGACTTTCTTATCTAGTTCTGAATTTGATCTTTTATTTGGTTTAGGGTTTCCTGATTAGTGATTTGGCGCCCAAAAATTGGTCACATTTCCAATATTCGGGATATTTATTCTATAAACATTTTTTATGTTTATCAGATTACTCTGTTCAGGGAAGAGTCAATAATGTTTCTCATGAAATGTGCATGATGTTTTGCAGTAACTGGTTCTTCACGTGGTTATGCTTTTGTTGAATACGAAACTGAAAAAGAGATGCGACATGCATATAAGGTGGTACAACTTCTCGAGTCCTTTAATTTCACCTGAGTTTATCCTAGTGTTCTTGTTTTTGGTTTATATTTTTATTCATTTTATTTGCTGTGTGGTGCCTAATAGCAATCAAATTTGTGGGATGTGATGTTATATTGCATTTTCTTCAAAGATCACTGGGTTTTTTCTTTATGAACTATTGATTCTTGCTGTTTGTCCAACCTTTCCTGTATCTCTTATCATTCATTCATAGAAGTTCTCGGTCTGATCATTCTTGGAGAAAAAAAAACCTCCAGTTATTTCATTTTTTTCTTAAGAAATACAATAATAAGTTTGTTTTGGTGGCAAATGATATTGATGTCTGCTATTAATTAACTTTGTTCATCAGGATGCTCATCATTCAATGATAGATGATTGCGAAATTATAGTTGACTACAATCGACAGCAGCTAATGCCCGGATGGATTCCACGGAGATTAGGTAAATAGAAGTTTTATAGTTTCAGAAAATATTGCCCCTTAAGTCTATTTGATTCTATTTGTGCTATCTGTAATAGGAGGGGGACTTGGGGGTAAGAAGGAATCTGGACAACTTCGATTTGGAGGAAGAGAAAGACCTTTTCGAGCTCCCTTGTATGCTTTGCTTCCCTAATTATATATACTCTCTACTTTCTTTTGCATGGATTTTGGTTCTGCTTCCTCGATTCTCGTGACATGCCAAATACCCTTTTGTGCAGACGTCCGATACCTCATGACGATTTGAAAAGGCTTGGCATTACTCCTCCACCGGAAGGAAGATATATGTCCAGGTTTCAGGTAACTGTTAAAACAAGGAACACATAAGCTTTATGAACTTCGATTTTTGTACAAATGGAAGAACCTTAATGTCCGTTCACGGTGCCAATCTTCTGCTCTTGTACTTGATATTTTGTAATGCAATGAACGATCACTTGACTTAAACTGAGGTCGGGATACTGTGACACCGGAAGTAATAGATTTTTTGTTGGTTCCTTGTTCGTTCTACTTTAGGTACCTTCTCCTCCGAGAAGAGAAACAGATTCGGTATGTAGGGAAGAAGGCTCCAGTGTGAAAGATTCCGTGGAGAAGGATGGACATAGTCGAAGTAGTTCTACAGATGGAGATGATTGGTCTCATACGAGGAGCCCTAATGACTACAGAGGGGGGCACTCTCATAAGGGGAACTATGAGAAGATGAAACATGAATCTAGAAGGGGTTCAAACGACAAGGAAGATTATTATCAGAGGAGCTCTTCTGAGAAGGAAGATCGTTATCAGAGGCGCTCATCGGACAAGGACCGATCTCGCAGAAGGGATTCTAATGATAGAGATGATCACTCACGGAAACGTCACAAATCTCGCAGATAGACTCTCCATTATCCCTAAATTTTCCCAGTTTCTATTTAAGCTATTCAACTAATGCTCATCTGGGGCATGCAGGCATTTGAGGATGAACTTGATTGCTTAATACACGAGTTCAGGTGACGTATTTGTACCGAGTAATCTGCTGCTGACAAATGTCGTCCATCCATTAACCGAAGGGATCGTGATGAAATGATCACATTGCTTCCAGTTATTCTGGGTATCTACCAAAGGCCAAAAAGTTCCTAAAGGAGGTGAGGATATGGTATTTGGTTAATTTAGAAATATGCAAGTATATAGGTGCTGTGAGTGTTATGATGGGAGGAATTTCAAGAACAAGTTTGGCAACAAGCAATATGTTGGCATTTCAGTGATACTCCTTAGTGTTGTGATACTCTATCTCTTGCGTTATGACGCCGATTTAAAATCTAGATATAACGATCCTTCTTTAAGATTTAGAATTTGGATTTGACATTTGATGGCCCGATACTCTCCTGCATCTCATATGACAAATACTTATATGGAGTTCCTGTATCGAGTCATTGAAAAGAAAGGTGCACCTTATTTATATAGATAGTGATTTTCAATTTTTTTTAAGCTTGTAAGTGTAGGTAATTACTTTCAATTCTATTAGTCTTTTCTTAGTCATCTTATTTTTAGGATCGCTCTTGTTCGAATTTGGTCTCAATTTATTCATGTATTGCTCATTCTACTAGCTTCCATCTTGGTTTGTCCCCAAACTACATTTTACTAGGAGAGGTACTGCCCTAAATACCATTTGTAACAATTCGTACCTAGGATTTGCCGCATGATGACTCTAGCATTCCTCTTTGTCTTGGACACGTTACTTACTTTTTTACATAAAGATTATTCTCTCATACCAACATGAGTCATTCCAGCTTCTTTCGCTTCCATGAATAGGGATGTGATCAATTAGGCACATATCTGGTTTCAAAAAAAAAAAAAAAAAACTGACTCGGCCTGCTCGTGCTATATTGCAAATTAAAAAAAAAAATCAAAATTTAATGTCATAAAAGAATCAATTATTAAAAAATCCAACTCTATAATATGAATAGTTATTAAAAATAATGTTAACAAAAGGGCTATTTTGACAAACATGCTATAGGTAGACTGTAACTCTCTCCTTTATTTTTTATTTTTTTTATTTTCCAATTAGAAAATTTATAAAAAAAATAAATAAATATATGAACCAATGATTATAATCAACTGCCAACCTGCCATTCAATGATTCTCCTTTTGCATCTTTTTTAACCTAATTTTAATTATAATTCTCCCAATAATTCCCAATAAATTAACTAATAAAACTCTGCAATTTGTCAAATTATAATAATTATTAAATAAATCACTGACAGATTTGTATTATTTATTTTTATTCCGCCTTGTTAATCGTGCCTGTAAGCCAATTAATACCTGACACGTTGCAAATTAAGCCCACCGGTTTTGTCCGGGTCAAAATGGTAATCTGTAGACGCTTATTAATGATTGAACCTCACGTTACAATCCATAGGGCAACCTTTTCTCTCTCTAAAATTATTATTATTATTATTTATTTATTTAAATGATAAGGTTACCAGACTTTTACAAGCCTCCACTTTAATTCTAAATTAAAAATAATTTTACCCGTCAAAATATTAGTAAGATGTTCGAATCTCACACATTTATTAAACTAATAAAAATATAGAACGGGAAATGGCCGTAAATTTCAAGATCCCAGCTAAGAAATTAGGTATATTCCTCCTACACGACATCTAAACAACTAAAATCAACTCAACCGTCATATTTGATTAGACAAAAAAACAATAATGAAATTTTAAAAAATATGTCTTAAATTCTTAATTTTTTTTAAAGTAGATTTCTAAATTTTTAATTTTGTATTTAATAAATTATTTAATTTTATTAATATTTTAAATAAAATAGAGATTTAAAAAAGTTTAATATTATGTTTATTTAATTTTTTTTAAATCAAACATTTTAAAAATAAAAAATTAAACTTTTATTTTCATAATTAAAATAAATATATCAACTAGTCGAGTTAGCGTAATATTAAATATAAATTTTTTATTAAATTTTTATTATTTAAAATTATATTTATTAATTTAATTATGGGTTGCCGACATACACTGTTTGAGATCTCGAGATTAGTTAAAAATTGAGAAAAAATTAAAAAAAAAAAAAAAATTGTAGAGAGAGAATGGGAGGTGGAGTTGGTCGGATTTTGACATTACTGCCCTATCGTTGAAGGCGCGTGTCATGCAAATGCAAATGCAAATGAAATGCATCCAAATCTCCTCTTTTCATTACTTTCATTTTATTTATTAATTCTAGGTTTATAATTATTTTTTTACTCATTTTTAATTTTAAAAATATGTGTTGCATTTATTATTCACTATTGGATTAATCTTTAATAACAAAAAGAAAAGTTCAATAAATTAAAATGAGATTAAAACTAATTTCCTTTTTCATTTTTTTTATTTTTTTTATTTTTTTACTTTTAAATAAATTCTTTAGTGAAAATGGTGCAATTTCATGGTTTATTTTATTTTTTATTAGTTAGAAAAAAAAAATTGTTTGAATTATTAAAAAATATTAAGAATTTTAATATCTAAAATAGACCTATTTATAATTCATGTGATTAATTCTCTTTTTTTTTTTTCTTTTGACATAAATATATTTAAGATTATTAAAATAAAAAATAGAAAAGAAAAGAAAATAATACTTTATTATTTATGCATATATTATTTGATTTCTTAATTAATTCGCATCTTACTTTTAAATTATTAAATAGACATATGTCTATTTATTAAGGGATTATTGGTTCAAAATCTTCCCTATAAAAAAAAAATAATTTTTTGAAAATAATAATAATAATAATAAATAAATAAATAAATTATACCGAACAAGTCCTCACCCAACCCCTTACCCACTTGTTAGGGGTCCAATTTGGGTTCCAATTTGATTCTTATAGATTTGAAATCAAAATTAGGTTTGGAATTAATTCTTTTTTGTTTATAATTATAAGATTTGAAATCATATTTGATCTCATATCCTATTTTTTAAATATGAAATTCTAACCTAGGTCACTCGAGACCGTTATAAATGTGGGGGCGACAAATCGAATCTTTATCTTTATCTTTATCTTTATCTTTATCTTTATGGAAGAGATAATGTGAGCTCCCACGTCGGTTGGAGAGGAGAACAAAACATTCTTTATAATGCTGGCGGTGGGCTTGGGCTCTTACAGAAGAGATTTTCACAGTCTTATAAAGAATATTTCGCTCTCCTTTCTCCATTTTCATAATATTTCAACACGAGACATTTGAGTAAAAAAAACGGTACATTAATAAACTAAGGCTATATCTGAATAATAACGATACTAAAAAAAAATATAAAATGTACGGGAATGTCGGAGTCATTAGATGTCAAATTTTAAATCATGATTTAAATTCTGAGTATGAGACGTTTATCTGTGAGGCTCGAGAATTCAAAGCTCTAAGCTCTGATATAAGAATTAAAAATATATGAGTTAAGAGAATAAATTAATTATGTTACATTATTATATTAATTATTATGGAATTTTGAATTAAAATTTCAATATTTTAATATATATTATTTAAAAGTAGTTTCAAAGGGAAAAATAGAATTTTTAATTTTTTAAAAAAAGGGAGAAAAAAGTCAAAGAGACATTTCCTTCCCTTTATTATCTATGTTGCTTCCCTTCCACTTCCCCACATTTCTCACTCCATTTCTCTCTGTATTTGCTTTCTCTCTCCTCTCTCTCTCTCTCTCTCTCCTCCTCTTTTTAATCTGCTCTTCATTTTGAGCCCACGAACTAACGAAGAAATCATATCATTGTTGTTGCTTCTTTATCTCAAAAATCTCCCCTCGCCATTGTTGTTCTTTGTTTTTTTTTCTTGCAGAGAAAGTTTCTGGGTAGGGTTTTTTTTTTTTTTGTTCTGTTTTCTGTTGATTTTTTGGTTTTGGCACAATTGTTCATCGGAAATTTGTGTGATTCTTCGTCGATATGGAGAAGGAGTTCTTCATGAACGATGGAAGCAGTTTTTATGGGATGGATTCGAGTGTGTTGTTCAATCCCAATTGGGAAAATTCGATGGATCAGAGCGATCTCTTTGAGTCTACTTTGAGTTCGATTGTGTCTTCTCCGGCGAATTCCCATGCCGGGGCTGTAATCGGCGGTGGAAATGGCGGCGGCGGCGGCGGCGGCGGCGACAACTTGATGATGCGAGAATTGATCGGAAGGCTTGGAAGCATTTGTAGTTCTGGTGAGATTTCGCCTCATTCTTACATTGGTGGGACGAACAATAATAGTACCAATACTTCTTGTTACAATACGCCTTTGAATTCCCCTCCGATGAAAGGAAATTTATCTGTCGGTCACCGTCAAAATCTGGCTCCATTTTCGGCTGATCCAGGTTTCGCTGAAAGGACTGCGAGATTTTCTTGCTTTGGGAACAAGAATCTTGCAGTGAATGGGCAATTGTGTTCTAATGAAACTCAAGAATTGAGCAACAAGTCAATGGCTGGAGCTGGTGTGGAATCTGGCAAGCTTTCTAGGGTTTCAAGTAACAAATCCTTCAATGTTAGTGGAATTGGATCTCAAATGGGAGTTCAGAAGGGGAATTCAATGGCTAACAAGAAAGTTATGAACAGGTTTTCGAGGTCTTCGACCCCCGAAAACGACGATTCGCGGGAGGGATCGTCAGTTTCGGAGCAGATTACAGCTGGGGAATTAGGATTCAAAGTTAACACTAGGAAAACGAAATCAGCTCAAACTGGTGAAGCAAAGAATGTGAAGGTATATGTTTACAAATTTTGCATTTCCTTTCAAAATTCTGTATCTGCTGATGAACTCAATGGAAAAAAATGGCACTAAAAGTTGTTGTTTCAGGCTGCAGGGGAGAATCATAAACCAAATGGCAAGAAAATCAAACCAGAGATGGATGCTGCAAAGGGGAAGGCTGAGGCAAAAGATGCAACTCAGAAACAAAACAATGATAATTCAAAGCCTCCAGAGCCTCCAAAGGATTATATCCATGTTAGAGCTAAAAGGGGTCAAGCTACAGATAGCCATAGTTTAGCTGAAAGAGTAAGAGCCAAAGCACTTATTGTATATACTCGTTTCTCACTCGAGTTCGATTCGAATGCTCACAATTCCTGTTGTTGCTCGTGCAGGTCCGACGAGAGAAAATCAGCAAACGGATGAAGTTTCTTCAAGATCTCGTCCCCGGTTGCAATAAGGTACTTGGATCTTAAAATTCTTAAACATGAGATCATTGGTATGAAAATCGAGTTCTAAAGTCGAGTCGTTTTTTCGCTTACAGATAACTGGGAAGGCAGTGATGCTTGATGAAATTATAAACTATGTTCAATCTTTGCAGCACCAAGTTGAGGTAATCATCAAATATTCAAACGATCTGCC